GGGGTCAGACCGGCCTCAACCAGCCCCTCTGCCTGGCAAGTGCGGCCCCGGGGCACCGGCCAGTCCCCGCAGAGGACACCGTTGTGTGCCCCGGCTTCAGAGCACAACGACAGAGAGCAGTGCCCAGCCATGAGATGGCCTGGGGAAACTTCTCCTTCGCTTTTGCCGACCAATTTCCTTTTGATTTAGACCCAAGAAGCTGCGCCACGCACTTGGCCCTAAGCACCACCCCGGATCCATCCCAGATCCAGCCGGCAGCCAGGCCCCGTGGGGTCACCAGATATACAGCCACCCCAGCAGTGGGGTGAACGGGCGACTGATTTCAGACACCAGCACATCCCATGCTGCAGGCGCAGACAGAAAGGCTTCGGAGAAGATCAAAGGATAAGGGAGAGCCAGGAGCTGCAAAGTGGCACCCAAGACAGCCCGGAGAACCTCCAGTCGCCCCTGGTATGGGATGGGGGGGGTCGCCCGCCCCCCCCTTCCCTGCTCCCTGAAGCCATCCTTGAACATACTCAGGGTCCAACCTCTCACGGCAACAAGAGCTGCGACAGAGACTGTGGGCAAGTTTCACAGGCAAGGAGGATCCAGCAGACTTGCACCCGCTGAGCCCTCCAAAGCCACTGCCACGGGACCACGGCGGTGGAGCCAGATTTGCTGTGCCATCACCGGGCTGTTTTAACATCCCCAAACTTCCACCGTATTTACCTGCCTCCAGCTCAAGGGCTTTTGTCCCTGCTGAAGACTTTCCGCAGCCCTGGACGCTTTCATCAGAAATCTTTTAAAGTTATTCACTTAGTGCTATGCTAATGCAGGGCTCTAAAAAAACCCCAAAAACTTTCAACCCTTAAAAACTGTTTTCTGATATTTGACCAGACATCAGACGCTGCTCCACAGAGAGTGACTAATGACCTGCTTTCTGTGAGAGGGGGGGAAAAACTTAATTATGTCCATTAAATTACTTCAAATATTTTTCCTCAGAGAATATGAATTATTTAAACTCAACACAGAGAAACCTGAAACATTAGCAAAAGCCTTCTGGGAGTCACTATGTAAATTCCCACTCCAAACAGATGGGGAAAGCATGGCAAGCTGCCACGCAGCCACTGAAGCAATGAACAGCACTGAGATTTCAATTCGATAGTTTTAATAGGGTCCCCTTAAGGAGGGCACCAAGCGAATAGCCATAGCCGGAGTGCCGGGAAAGGCTTCCCACATGCTGGAGGAAGGTGATACAACTGGCACAAAAGCCTCAAGTAGCTCCTGAAGGACAGACCCGATTCCTCAGGAAAAGCTCACTCTCCTACCGTACCATACACCTTAAACACAGGGGAACCGTACCCGTTTGGGACTTATTTAGCTAATTTCCTCTCAATCCATCTCCTACCAGCTGAAAAGGTAGAGCTCCAAGGTATCACCTGGACACCAGGCATGGGCAGTGAAGGGTGTTTTCAGGCGTATCTTACTGAAGAAAACATCTCTCACACGTCCCAGCTGGTGGTCTGACCTCTCCTCTGCCCCAGAGGAGCTTTGCTAACAGGGCAGCCACGGACACTGCCAGTTAATAATTGATAGCCAATTACACCTTTCAGAGAAGAAAAGCCCCTGGCTGCTGACGGACAGAGGAACAGCCGCTCCTGGGGTAGGAGATGCACACCCGCAGCCCCATGCTGCACACAGAGCGGCCTCCGCTCGCTGGGGACCGCTGCCAGCTTGTGCTGGCACCTGACTCGCTGCAGAGGCAGTTGAGACCACACTGAGCTGGGACTAGGTCCTGACCACAGCCTGAAGCAGGAAGGTGCCCGGGAGGAGGCATTAGCCCCAGCACCTCTCTCCTTGCAGAGGCTCACACACTCCAAGAGGAGGAGCACGGCAGCCCATATCCCACAGTCTCAGCGCTTTCTCTGCCTTTGAAAGCGAGATCAAAGTGGTCACAGCACCAGGGTCATTAGAGGGATACCCGTTACAGTAGAGGTTATATCCATTTTTACAGCTGTCATTAAATGTAACCTTGCGAGCTGTAAAGTCACTGAATTATTAAGTTGTGTCTAAAGCATGACAATGGGGATACTAATGTTCTAGAATAATTTTATAGTTACAGATAAAGCCGTGGGAAATGCCTGACGGTATTCAGAGCTTTGGCACTTCTGCCCAGCCAACGCCGTGCTGCAGAGCAGCTACCGGCAACATGCCCCATTTACCCAATTGCCACCCTTGAAATTAAGGTCTGGCTGTTAGCTGGGGAGCTGCAATCAACTAAAAGAATCATATTGCTGACAAAAGGCAATTCCACTTGTCTGAACTGTGCTCAGACAGACTGGAGCAGTCTGGCAGCAACACGGACTGACATAGACAAAAACTACCAGAGGACACTGACAGCCACTTTTACCTCTGCATCCCCCATCCTTCTCCTCAAAGCCGGGACCACACGTGCACTTCCCTATGGGGACCAGCCACTCGCCCTCTGCGCTGCAGTGCATCCTGGGGGGATTATCCACGTCCACTTCGGCATGAGTGACACAAGTGCCCTTAACTTCCACCAAAGTCGCAAAGGCCGTCTCCGCCACCGTGTCCGGAAACACGGCCAGGTTCTGCACGGTGGTGAGGCACTTCTTGTAATAGACCCGCACAGAGACCAGCGCCACGCAGGCGCCCACGTCCTGGAAGCCCAGGTGGAAGCCTCTCTTGCTCAGGTGCCCAATCTCCCTCAGCTCGGTGTTCAGCTTCATTTTACGCTCACCCAGGTCCCCCTGCGTGAAGCTCTCATCAGCAGCAATGGTGTCGATCTTGGTGTGCTTGCTCTCATGGACGCTACGGCCCATGTCAGAGTCAGACTCGACGTAGTACAGATTGAAAGTCTCCTTGCAGGTGCCTGTCACGCCAGGGATGCTGTTGCAGTCCCGCAGGGTGAACTTCAGCTCGATGAAGATCCTCTGGCCATCGCGCCTGGCAATCCAGCCCGTCTGCAGCCAGTTGTTCTGGTTTGGCTCCATGACGTTGCAGACCTGGTACGTGCGTATTGGCTTGTAATTCTCATCCACGCCACTGATTTCTTCCCACTGGGGAAAGAACACAAAGGGCTGTAACAGCTCGAGAGCTGCCGTGAGCAAGAACCAGCCGCCCCAGCAGAAACACACCGATCAGTATAAATATCACCACGACAAGCCTCTCCACCTACAGGCCATTATATCATAGGCACTAAAAGTCCTTAGCCCACCAAAAACCACAAGCTGTCGTAACACAGCGGTGCTGCTGGACCACCTAACACCTGAGCTCTTTGCAGAGGTGCAAATACAGAGACACAACCAGAAAGAGGGCACTGGCATCAGACTTCTAAAACAGAGTCTAATATGAAACAGGACACATCATCCGCTGAGAAGCCAGAGCCTTTATCTCCCACATGCTCCTCAGATTTTCTGTCCCTGTGCATCTGCACAGCATTACCACATAGCATAATGACCCAGAGAAGTCAAAGATGGCCAAGGAGATGGGACGCCAGTCATACTATCACACAAGAACAAATATCTTCACAAACAGTAAGCAGCAGCTTCTCTGTCAGGAGAAGTTCGAACTAGAACAGGACAAATCCTCTGACTGCAAGTAAACAGTATTTCCCCAAAGTTACCAGCAGAGATTCTGATTAGTAAAATGATGATTCAAGCCTCACAGCCTTAAGGATGACCTGGCAACTTCCCAAAGCAATTCTTTCTGGGGGTAAATTTATGCAAGATTGCCAAATGTACCCAAAACAGAGTTTCTTCTGCAAACTAACAGCTGGGCAATGCAGATGACTCTAGGATCTATCACTATTCCCTCTGAATGGCTTGTTTCCATCCTGGAAAATGAACCAAAAGCAGCAAGGAACACAACTCTGAGTTTTCCGACACACTCTCCTGAAAGCAGCTATAGACCGACCTTTGCAGCAAAGCAAGGACCTGATCAAACAAACCCTACATGATGCAGAGCTCCTGACAATCCCACCCCAGCCACAGCCCTCTTCCAAGAGCTGGACTGATCCCCAGGAGCCCGCGCTGGCATGCAAACTACAATACAAAGCCTTAACTGGCTGGTGTTTATTTGCTTATTACACGAGTGTAAAAAATCCTTTTGAGGAGCTGTCCACACTGGTTGTACCACTCACATAACCAGTACTTCACTTCTCGCTCTGCTCTCCAGGGTGCCCAGCACTGATCAACACGACAGCTCGTGCCAAGCTGCCCCCCTGCCGCAGCTCAAGGAGACCCCATGGCTGCCAGCCCCCTCCACCAGCTCCACGTGTGGACTTTAAATACTGCTGAGCACCAAAAGACAGACCCTGTCTAACAGCGCAGAGGGACAGTCCCACCTCCACACTTACCCCGTTTAATGGGTGCGAGGTCCAGCCCAGCTCCGCTTGCGATTCCTTTGAGTCCAGCAGGACAACTGCAGGGAAGACAACATGTTAGAAAGCAAACTCACTAACGCAGGAAATGCCAGTAAATATCCACCCACCCACCCGTTGGGAAGCTCAGTGGGTGCACCCCTTCCCGGACACCCAGCTGCCTGAGTGGTGGGTCAGGTCCCAGAGTGCAGGGAGCAGCTCCCGCCCCAGCGCCACCAGCCATCGCGTCATCCCTTGAGCACCGAGCACTGCACCGAGCAGAACTTGTGCTGCAGAGCTCTAGGCTGCACATCCAGAACAGACCTCGCAGTTTTGCGATTAGCACCCTAACCTAAGGGGGATGACGTCCCAGGGAAGGCTGCAGTCCTTCCCAAGGCACCCTGCAGAACAATCCCTCCACCACCACCAGCCAATACTGCAACTGTACTGTGCCTGTAGCGTGTCTATCTCCTGGAACTGAAAGGTACTGGCGGCTGCTTTGAAACAAGAATTTCCTTGAAAGACTACATCTTTTTTCCACAAAACAGCTAATTCTCTGCTTGACAGGAAGAGGTATTTCCCCCAAATTCACAGTTCCACGATGCCTCCACAGCTAGCAAACAGAAGCAATCCCTGACTGGCAAGTTGTGCCTCCTCTCAGACCCCAGACAACGCCCGTGCATGAGGTCGCAGCCCCGGCCCGTCCTTTCGCCAGCGAGCGCTCCAGGACGCTCCTCCCGGCGCTGGGGCAGGACGGGTCTGTCCGCGGCAGCGCGGCCCCTGCACACGCAGACCCCGGGCTTCGACCCTCTCCCCACGTCC